TTTTTTTTTAATGTTGTGCATAGTTTGGCAAAAATGAGGACACTCTTGCAAAAGCACCAATTACCACAAGATAGGATTGACGAAATCTCCCCTGAAAACCATGAGTAGAACAATAAATGATAATCACCCCTAAACCACCAAGGCATATCACATCTGTTAACCATCAAAATTCACAGGATACCCAAATAGAAGATGCTTTCTTGTGGAAGGATAATGTAATTGTCAGCAAATGTGTGCCACTAGCAACAAATTAATGCTAAACCAATCAAAAACTGTTATCTTCTTGTATGTGGATGAAACTATAGAGGTAGGTAAAGTATTTTGATAAGAACAATCTTTATGCAGCATCTTCTTTGTGAATCCTGGAAGAAAAGTATTTGAAAGAATAGAACCCACATTCTTGAAGGCTCCAATAGGGGTTTCAAGAACAAGAACAAGGTGGTTTTGGTGATCCCGCTTCAACCAGCGAAAAGTGGCAAATCTCATACTTATTATAAACCATGCTCTCTCTCTAACCGACATGCAGAGAAAACATATCCAAGTATACTAATGTGTTCAGAATAAGTGGATCTGGGAGCCAACAGAACAAGAGGCACAATCATTCTCTGAAACATTTGTATGTGTGATTATAGGAGCTTAGTCACTCAAAACTGTCTTTTAAACCCTATGCTGAGACCACCTTTTCTTGATGCCATTTCTACTCACCCTACTCTAATTTAACTGCTACAACGTATTACACATTAAGAAACCTGCGCAAATAACACTACACCATAAAAAGAAAGAGGGGAAACACTAGATAAAAAGCGTTGAGGCATCGGTTTGATTTGAGCTTCTAAGACCAGAATTCTTTCTAGACTAGACTGCACCACAGTAACTTAATTGGACTTGAAATGCTTTCTCTTAATTTCAATGTTCATAAAGTTACATGATTTAATTCCATTGGTTCGCCCAGAATGTTCTAAGTATTAATAGTGCTACCAGATCCATACTTCACAATAGGTTGAAATGGAGCCTGTAATTTTTGACATTCCATCAACTATGCAATAAAATTGAGAACAGTTAAGTACTTTGCAATTTCTGTCACATCCAGCAGTTTTAAGAACAAGACCAGCCAATACTATGAATGATTTGAATGCCAAATAACATCAGTTTCAAGGCAGTGCCAAATGGAGGAGCTGTTTCAATAAATGTACGAAATAAAATGCTGAAATGCCGACAACACAGCTAATAAAATCAAAGCATTTCTGATGGCCAGGTAGGCCTTTTCAGATTCTTCAAAGATTATGATTGTAAGAACTAACCATCTGAACAGCTTATTTTAATACTTACTATGTGGTAACTGCAGCTTCTGAGAATCAGATTACGCGAATAATCAGATAATACACTAACCATTGTTCAATTCTAAAAGTCAGTACGGTGGTAGCTGCAGCTTCAGAGAATTGATTACAGAGACTTATCATCACCGTAATCTGATATGTAACGAAATTTAATTACACATGCTTCCATTTTTGTCCCGAAATTTTGTTATGATAATTATTAGGCTATATTTTCTAAATCAACTTCAGATGAGGTTCCAAATTATAAAATTAAACTATCGACCAAATAGAGAAGCGACTCTTTGCCAGCTATGTTGGCCGGGGATGAAAAAATAGCCACGAAGACGGGATACTGCAATTTGTAGCCCATGGGAAGAACATGTGAAGACATTATTTCAATAAAAAAACAAATGGTAGACTGTTACTCATTGACTATATCAGATATGCCATTTTTATTGTTTACAGCTCGGTTGCGGAAAACAATGAAACAATGTTGTTTACAGCACAAGTGATGGTTTTCTTCAACGGATTCCAAAGTCAAATCTTTTAGCTCTAAAGAACCCCATCCGATAACAATTTACCCAAGGAGATTGACGCAGACTAAGAGGCCAAAAAATTAACTCTATAAACAGGAGGAAAAAGATAAAAAGAAACTCCCTTCATCCTTATGTTTGAGTGAACTATATGGAGTCTCGTAGATGTTTAAAATAATAGTTTGAATTCTGTAAAATTCAAAAAGTTGGTTACCAGATGTCGCATCAAAGTTGAACTAATAAATATTTCTAGGTTGCACTAACTTCAGTCATTACTCATTAGAGGGAAAATAATTGCAATTTATGCAATTGGGACAACTTTTTAGGGTAGAATGAACTAAAAAGTAGACAGCCTAGGATGGGACTGAGGGGTAAGAAATGCATTAAGCAGCATGACAACATCTCAATAATGGTGCATGTTAAGATTTTAGCTCAGCTATTTTTTAATTTTTTTGGGGGGTTTTTGGGGGGGGGGGGGGCAATTTATAGGACTCTTGATACAGATTACTGTGAAACAGTTTAATATCAGAAAACAAAAAAGAGAGAGATTACTAACTTGTTACTTTTTAAGTCAGAGAGAATTAATGAAATTATTATATTTATAGATAATAAATAACACGAGGCAAAATCAAAACATTTTCACCAAGATGATGGATATTCCAAGGTAGAGATCGGAGAAGATGAATGAAGGTTTGTACCTACTCCTAATTTGCACTATGAATCCAATCCTATCCACATAGATGTTCTTAGCCATGCGATGAGGGGATGCTTTGAAAGGTTATGTTAAAGCCCGTCGACTTTTCTTTGTTTGCATCAAGAGACACCCGAAGGGTCTGGCCATATGGTACCTTGGGAGCCCCAACCCTAATGTTCACGTGGATGTCCAATTAGAAATTTTGAATAGATAGGTATCATAAGTCTTCAACTGTAAAACAAAAGAGAGTCTGATTAACTTCTGAACTTTTACAAGGTTAGGTTCAATGAAATGTGAGCAATTGTTAAGAATGCCAACATGGAAATGCTTAAAATAAGAATCTGAAAAAGGAAAAGTCTGGTAGAGCCTATATCGGTTATGCGTCTCTCAAATCCTCAGTTATCTATGAAGTATGGCAGCAAAAAATTATATCACTCAGTGGTAAACATATTTTCGAATTATGAAGGATCCTCATTGTACATGTACAGGGTCAGTTACTCATTGCTAATATATCAGTGATTTATTCTGCATCACCTGGAGACTAAAAGGCATCACCAAATCAAATAAGATTAACCAGGAGTTTAAAAAAACACTTTTATGTTAGTAAGAAAATAAAAGAAAGATGACCAGCTAATACAAGTACTTCTCATCTGAACCGAACTCTATAACTCAGTATAGTGAGAATAATTACAAGGGTCAACAGGGCTTACACTTTGTTAAGTATATGTCTGTGAGATGCATTTGTCAGGAAAATTACAATAGTACAAAATCCTGCCAAGGGTCACCCAACTTTACAGCAATTGCTTAAATGACTGACGTTTGTCCAGATACCAATCCTGAATCCTACTCGAGTCACCATTAGATGCTGCAAAGAAGAAACACAAAGGTCATATTTCACCAAGAAAGAAGAATTTAAGATAGAAGTGCAGTAAATGACATATCCTGAAGAGCCGAAGCACTCTACATGCACAAGGCTCAGATGTAGAGATATGTCAACCAAGTCCTGTCCCCAAATAAAAAATCTTGATAAACCAAAAACTCACCAAAGATCAAAATCCACTCCAACAACTCTCATGCTGGCCTCCAGTTGAGGGCAGTTACATCCGGTCGGCAAGGCATTCCATGACCTACCACACTAGCAAGTCAGTTCCTTCTCCCAAAAAGCTGAGACTGCGAATCGAAAAGCAAATTAAACTATAACAGAAATTCTTGACCAATTTATCACCTGAAATTGGAGGACCAGTAGGGAAAGCATTTGATCCAGAAGGTTGGAATCCAACATTACTCACAGATGGTCTATCGGGAGGTCTGAAATAACCTGCCATCGAAGTCACTCGTCAAACTAACCTATCGCAGAATGGCTATACCATGACTGACAAATCAAATTCAAGATTGCTCCATGTTTTCTTTTTAGTTAACAGAAAAGTACAAAACTTTTTCCAGCAACAACTTCAACATTTTACCAAGTAAAGAACATAGGTATGTATTGTAGGCCCACAAATGTGAAGAAAGTACAAACTCCACATTAAAACCGGACATAGAGACGGAGTGGAATTGGAACGGGAAAAGAAGGAAAGAGGCAAAGCCTACTAAAACTATAAGTGAGTTCCCACGCCGTCATATGAATCATTTAAATACATTTCCATCAAATGCCATGCCACAAAAGGGATTGAGACGAGCCTCTGCCATAAATATTGAAGGTTAAATTTTAACACGGCAATATTTCTCCGAATATATTGATGTTTGTTGCTGATCATGATAAGTATATGGGAGAGCTGTATTACCATCCTTAACTGTGGTGGAATGCCAAATACACTATCACTTCTCTAAGTTGCACGGACTCTTTGTTTTTGGTGCCGCACCCGTCTCGACACGGGACGGGTGCGGGATACGTCCCGGATTCGGTCAACTAACTTCGGATACTTTGACCTGAGTCCATCGACAAATTTGGGGAGAAAATTGAGATTTTGATTTCTCAAAATTAAAAATAAAACAAATTTTTTTTTTATAAGGAAAAAAATAAAATAAATTAAGACATGGGAAATGGCATACCTTCAATATTGTAGTACTTTTGTCTCATATTTGCTGCTTTGTGTTTCAAAAAAACCAAGAATTCAAGGGGTCGTGTTCTAAGTTCGGACTACTGGTAGACAGTAGCAACGATATAGATGGAGAGTTGGTGGAAGGCCTTGAATGGCTTTAGACAGTAGCAATGATATAGATGGAGAGTTGGTGGAAGGCCTTGAATGGCTTCCTTTTTCTCTTTATACCTCTATTTTTTATAATTTTGAATTTTCTTAGCTGAATCACCGCACCCGTATCCCATAACTGGATCCGCACCCCGGTATCTTAAAATTTAAATTTTGCCGAATCCGACACTCGGATCCATGCCCATATCAGATACCCACACCCGAGGCCGAGCAACTTAGTCACTTCTCTTTTCTGATTAAAAATAAATTTTACCAAGAATTCCCGCATACAAGATGTATCCAAACTAGATACTTATCATACAAAAACATGACTCTCTACTAAAAGCGCACAATCAGGTGCATAGTATTATTTGTCAACAATGAACAAGCAGCAACACCTAACTCGAATTACATGTTTCACTGGCAATAACAGACAAATCTTAACTACGCCCTGACCAGTGACAGGCAACAGCTAGGTTTTGGTAAGTCGCTTCTATGACGTTGTGTTTCAACTGATCCAGTTCAACACTTCACCAAACTTAGAGCTTGTACCAGTTTCAGCACTAACCCATTTAACAACGCAGATAAAAGCCAGCCAGTATGAGCATCATATGCAGGTTCAAGAATTTGAATAATATTTCCTAACAAAATTCATGAATCTGGGAAATTTGCTAAGAGCTAGTAGAAATTTACTATATCCAACTCCTGCCACTTTGCTTCCCATGTAAATTAACGAAAGCACAAAGAAAGAGACAAACCTTCCTGAGCAATAGTTGGACCAGGGCATGCTCTTCCTGTACCAATCCATATACCGCGCTGGTGGTCACCATTAAACTCATTGGATTGCACCCTCCATTGTTCATCACCAATATAACGTCTTGATCCATCAGGGCGCTCTGGTAATGAGCATGGTGCAGGATATGCTTGCTGTGTATGCTGCTGCACTGGGGCCCTTGGATACGAAAAACTATTGGAAGGGATTTGATGTGGAGGGTTAAGATGCACGGGCCTTGGGGCAAAAGGTGCACTACCAGGTTGAAATTTCTGTGCGGACTGAGAAACTGGTGGGTTTATATATGCATCATTATAACCATATTCTAAAGGCCGTGAACTATATCCAGAAGGTTCCCGTGAACTACTGACTCCTGCTGGTGTAAAAGAAGGTGGTTGCAATGGGAATACCTCATTCCTAATAGAAGCATTGATACAAGGACCATGAGGCATAGTTCCAGCTATCTGTGGTAGCCGATGACCCTGTAAAGGATTATAAACCTTAGTGTTATATAATGAGAGAACATAAATAACTCAAAGCAAGAAGCCTTACACTAGGCAAGCTACCAACTTCAATTGCAAGAGGAGGTTGCGAATATGCCACTACAGGTGATGATGATGGTACTGTTGGAGTGAGAGAGTGCAAGTGTTGTGTCCCTACTTCGTGTTGAAGTGGAAAAGAAGGTTGAGGGAACATCAGCGGAGGCGGTCCGGTGGGCAGTGGAGGGAAAGTATGTGGCTGAGATGGAGGTGGTGGGGGTTGTGATATAGGAAGTGGTGGTGGTGGAGGAGGTGGCAATGGAGATGATGGAGGTGGAGGTGGCGCAGGCGATGGAGGGGGTGAAGAAGGCAAAGGTGGAGTGGGTGGAGGAGAACAAGGAGGTAATGGAGGGGATCCCATAGGTAGAGGAGGCAAATCAGATATATTATCTAAACATGATTCCAGGGTTCTATCAGAGCCAGACCGGTTCACATCATCTGCAAATAAAGGTCTTTCATCTTTTGGGTGACCAGACACATCTTCCATTTCAAGCTCACCATCCACATCCTCCAAGATACAATGACGCCTGTCACTAGGAATGACCATACATCTTCCAGCATTATCACCTGTTGCAGGTGTACGTTCCACTGCTAATTCCTCAGCAGCTTCTTTTTGAAAATTACAAAGAACATCTTCTTCTTCCTCCTCGTCAAAGACGTGAGAAGATAAAAAGCCAGGCAACTGAAATGTAGCATTGCTGGAAACGCAAATGGGAATAAAATATGTCAGATATTAAAGTAAAAACATCAGCAATAACAATACTATCACTTTACTGACAACGAAAAAGCAAATGTTGCTACCGATAAGCACATAAACAGAATGCCACAGATTATCAGATAATTATAGAAGTGGAAAGGAGAAATTTTGATGGGCTGATAGATGGAGTTTGTGGCAAAACACAATTGGCTACAATCTTAAACACTGATCTCAAATTGGTGTATGACCCAACAGTCAAGGTCTTACTCCCACAACTAGTCAAATTTGTGGTCTTACTCCCACTCTGAGATTACCATTTGCATCGACAGGAGACAGATAGCATAATAATCATGCGGTGTGCTCAGACCCAAAAACAAAAACAGGGGTTCATAAAATCCCTGAAATCCATCTCTGAAATTTGTGGCCCAATGAAAAACAGGGATTCAGATTTTCAGAAATTCAATTAACACTTCCAAAAACAGAGAAAAAAATATTGCACACCGATTCCTGTCTCAAGTATTCTCCTAACATTCGAATTGGAATCTGAAACAAGAATCAAATACCTATTTCATGAATCAAAAATGAAATTGAAAGGCTCGAACAAATTAAAGAAGTATTATGGAGCAATTCCTTTATCAACTACCAACATATATTCAGTGCTATTCCAACATATCCAAATATTTACAGCAAATGCACTCGCAAGGATGGCAGTGGGATAAACCCGAACTCAAATGTTAGAGTATGGTTCCATGAGTTAGCTGGAGGAAAACACAATTTAAAATTTGGAAAAAAAAACAAGGAAAAAGGAGGGATTTACGGCGTTTAGACAGTTTCTCTACAAGTGAAAAGCAAAAGCCGACAAAGTTCCTGGGGATTTAAGCAAGAAATGAAAAGCAGAAGTCTTAGCATGCGCTAGTGTTGTCAAGGGCGAAAAGCTCTAAAAAGCGCTCTAGGTCTATTTGGGCTTTAAGGGCAAAGCGTACTTAAAGTGTGGGCTTTAGTTAAAAAAGGCACAATGAAGGAAATAAATAAAAATTATATGTAATTCAAGAACAAAGTAACAAATTCATTCATAATGTTTCCCTTAGCAGCTAATACACTTATTTCTGATTATAGTTGTTGTTTAGTGCCGCTTAATTCAAGAGAGAACTCATGGTCAATGGGGCGCACGCCTTAGTGCCTTGCCTTATATTGAAGCGCAACTAAAGCGAGGCGAAGCGCCCTCCTTGAGTTTTTCTGAGCTTCAGGGCTTAAGCGCGCCTGAAATGAGTCTTTGACAACGCCTCACTGTCCAAAGCACATGCTTCTTCGAAGTAGCGTTGTGTCCTGAGAAATAATGACCCCTAGCTCACGTCTCTATGTCACTTGACTTTTAATAAGACTGGATTTTAGCTTTAGAGCCAGTTTCTAACCATTCCAAAGAAAAGAGAATCTACAAGTTTACAGTCCTACACATGGGACAGACCACTTCAAAGAGGTACGGATAATCGCCTTCATCCCCTATCTGAAACTCATAAGTGGTTTGTTGTAGATTCACATCCAAAACTTTTTCAGTCCCAAACAAAGTTGAGTCGGCGATATGAATCCTCACTTCTTACTTTAAGCTCAACTCATATTATCACCATGCCAAAATAAAATAATAGTAGTGAAAATAAGTTTCANTGCTCCTGCTATGCCTAAACAAAAATACACGTAGCAAGGCAAAGAGAATCAAATCTAATTCAAGCACAGATTTCACAATTTTTTTCTAGATTCTAGCAAGTAAATAGATTGAGAAATTACAAAATAATGTGTTTCTTAACTGGATCGGTTAGATGATTTGATCTTACCACAGAAAGCATCCACCAATCTCCATACAAACCGGACTCCCATAACCTCCGTAATTTAAGGAGATGACTTAGGTCCTTGTTTATATCTTCTTAGATCAGAAAAATTTGCAAACCAAACTGAAGAATAGCAGATAACCTGCCTTATTTTCAAAATTACAAATCTCATTTTTTATGGAGGGTTACCAAATATCTTTTTTGGTAGTGTAAAATTTTCAATTCTCTGTCCGATTATGTAAGTTAAACGCTTTGGTAAACCTGGTAACATTGTGCAGTGCAGGAAGATACCTTAAGCAACATCCAATTCCACAATGTAATGTTGCTACTAAATTAGCACAAATCATCCTGGTCACACAGACTGAATTAATAGAGAATGCATCTGTAAAGTATTGGTACCCACATGCTATAGCAAATACCCTAAAAGATTTGAGAAAATGAAAATCAGGGAAGATCTCGTTAACCGGTGCAATCCCACAAAACTATGTGCAGAGATGGACTCGGAGATCTCACTTAATGAAGGGAGGTGCAATCCCACAAAACTTAATGAAAATCAGGGAAGATCTCGTTAACCGGTGCAATCCCACAAAACTATGTGCAGAGATGGACTCGGAGATCTCACTTAATGAAGGGAGGTGCAATCCCACAAAACTTAATGAAAATCAGGGAAGATCTCGTTAACCGGTGCAATCCCACAAAACTATGTGCAGAGATGGACTCGGAGATCTCACTTAATGAAGGGAGGTGGGTGGAGAAGGAATTGGTGAAATATGAGAGGAGATGAAAACAAAATTAAGAATCATAAAGGTAGTGTTCTTTGACAAGAATCTTTACCTTTATGACTATGAGAGCACTGAGTTATAGAATCCACCAAAAAAAACAGGTCCACTCTGCGATGAAAACTAGCTTCATTTTCCAACTTCCGGATAAGAAGTTCCACGACCTGCATTAAAGAGGGTTGAATGCTCAAGAAGACTACAAAAGGTGACAATAAATGTACCCATCACAAAAGTTGCAATATGCAGATATTTTTATTTATGATGATTATTTAGCAAGTTCGACAAGTTAAAATCTTAGTTCCTACAAAGTCACTCCACAGAACCCAAATCTTAGTTCCTAAAAAGTCACTCCACAGAACCCACAATTTACGTAATAAGAAAGATTCAAAGCTCATTTAAGTGGTTCAAATTTCAAAATATTTAAGAAAGAACTTTCGGTAAAAGCTTTGTCTAGATTAAAACTGACTTGAGATTATAGAGGAAAAAGAGCAGTTTTGCCAACTAAATCTTGTTTTAGGTTTTCCAAGAAGGCCTACGATATGAGATGTGTAGCAAGTTAGACTCGTAAAAAGTCTCCGAGCAGGCAAGTCAAAAGCACTTTCATTTGTTGTTTTCTCCCTGCTCACTACTCCCCTTCAATTTTCCCTTCCTTCCTTTTTTAGCTTTGACAAAGTGCAGGTACCAGATTTAACCACAAAGTTTTAACCATTTCAGCCAACACAGGGAAGAGTCCTTTACTTTTACTGGTTTAACATTTTTAAAATTCAGATCAATATTACATGAACTGCTATGATCAAACTGACTTGATTTTGCAAGTAAACAGAAACAAACTCTGTGAAGCCAGCCTCTCACCCAGTTATCTTGCTGTTTAAGTCTTAATTATCATAGCTTATTAGGTTTGAAAAGGAACCACGAGACCATCATTTGTCCTGGTTCATGACACTGTGCAACTCTTTAAGCTTTGGTTAGAAAGAAGATTTTTGTGGAAGAAGCCCAGCTCTAAAAAGCCATTTCAAAATAGTTTTTCCGATTTACAAGAATGATAAACTCATATAGCAAAAACATACCCAGAATGTCCTTGGAATAATTAACAGAAGAAATTTATCCCACAAGAATCATCGATAATGAGAACATGACTATAAGCTCTTAAACTTCATACAGTCATCAGACTCATCACTAAGCACTTCAACTATTTCTGGTCACATCACTCTTGCACAATCGCTTTTACCTCAATTAGCCACTGACACTTCATTCCACTAGATGAACCACAAGGAAATTTAAGATTTTTTCTCCTAAAACCTCCATTTAAATTTCATACACTCGAACCCTAAAACAACCAGATTACTCCTCTCTTTCTTTCTCTCTCTCTTCTCTATCTAACTCTCTCTTTATCTGATGAGTTGAACTGTTTTTTTACAGTTTATGTCTATCCGCTCCTACCTTCTTCTATTTCAGTTTTTTTTTAAAATCACCTCCCCCCAGCCTCTCTTCTCTTTCCCACTCTTTTCACCTTCTCTCTCTCTCTCTCTCTCTCTCTCTCTCTCTCTCTCTCTCTCTCACACTGTTCTCCATTTTCTCTCTCTATTCTTCCCTTTTCTCCCCTTTCTCATTTCTTTCCCTGCATTTTCTCCCTTGTTCCCTTCTTGGTGTTACATCAGTCCCGCCGGCAAAAATTATCAAGTCATGAGCAGGAAGGCCAGTAAATAAAGGATCTTATCATGCAGAGATGCACACAAAGAGACAACTCACACATTTTCGAGCCATAAGGCATACTTGTACATGGAAGCACTGCTATTTACCTCGTATTAGACATCTATTTAATGAGAAATGTCAACACAGAGCCTCCCAATAATGACGCAGAAGGAAAAGCTCAATCAAACACACCAACTATGCTTTGACACACCACCCTGTACCCTTTAACCCCATGAAATAAAAGAATAAAAAAGGGCGAACAGAAGGCATGTAGATGGAAAAAGTTGGAAAACACGAACATAACATGAATAAACTTGCATATTATATATTGTGAACCCATAAACACTCCTAGATCTTGTATCAGCACAATGACAGGCAAAGAGGTGAAGAACGACCAGATCAGAATTTCTCGTGCAACGAGAAGCCCAAAAGGCAATATTGCGGGGCTTATGACTAGTCCATAATGGCATTTAGAAATACTTGTATGAAACTTTTTGACACAAAAACAGTTGTCGCAAACTTTAGGCATCTACAAGTACGTCACCTAATTTTTCATTCAAGGATCAACACAGATTCTCCCAATATTGACATCAATGCCGAAAACAAATAAAACACGAAAACATAAAAATCGCAGAAGAAACTCATTAAACTTATTATTATATCAGTTAGAAAGGGAGAAAAGTGTTGCTTACCTCATTAGCAATGCCATACTTTGCACAATCAATTGCTAGACGGGTTGCACGTCCAATACTCTCTTTGGTCCGTGATAATGTTTCTATCATTCCTTCAAAAGCATCACGAGCAACAGCTGCCTCAGTATCGCCGCTGAGTGAGCCCCCAGCGGCCACCAGGCCTGAACTCACTCTCTTCTCCTCATTTTCTTCAGGCTCAGGTGGATTAATTGATGATAACTGCTGAATCTCAGACGAAGGAGATGAGCGAGGAAATACTTGGACTTCGGGGTGCAGCATGATGCCAGAGCTTAATGGTTGAGAACCAAGAGCTGGATAGGGACTCCCTCCCTGTGGTTCAGTATAGGGGGCCAAAGCACCAAGGGTATTACCATGAACGCTCTGTAAGTGAGCTTGCCGCCTTTTAGCCTGAGCAGCTGCTATAAGATTTTTCATGGACATTTGAGGGTCCAGAACTTTGGAATCTATGGAAAAATTATGCTTGTCATCTCTCACAAAGTCCAGCCTGCTTTTGCCACAAAAGTGGAACATCACATTAGAATGAACTGTCAATAAGAGGCACCAAAGTAGTTTCCTGGCTGGTGTAAAACATTTCCCTTACCCAAAAAAAAAAAAGTAAATAAATAAGAGGCATCAAAGAAAAATCAAATACCAAATGTACCTTTCTGCCCGTGTAGACATACTTTCCACAGGATTACCAGGCACAAGAGCAGGTTCATTCATGGAGGAACTGGACCGAGGAGTTGTTTTTTTCTTTTCACCGATAGAAGCCATCTTACTTCTTTCATTAATAGGTTGATCATGAGAAGGATTTAAGTTATCAGCACTAGTGCCTGTATTAGATTCAGCTACCAATTTTCTATGATCACCCTGTGCTTTACCAGGTACTTTAGCACCTTTTTGTGGCTCTGAGACTGGTTTTGCAGTGGACCCAGGGGATTTTTTGGGGGAAACAGTATCACTTTTACCTTCCCTGATCGCTGTTTTCGGAGTTCCCAATTTCCCAGGACTACATGAAACACTTGTATCAGTAGGTATACGCTTTTTCTCTACATTTTTCTGAGAAATACGTACAGAAAGTTCTTTGTGTAGTCTGGCAGATAGTGGATGTTCCTTGATAGAGCTATTGTCAATTGTGCCTGAATCTTTCACACCCAGTTGATCATTACTAGCTGTTCCGATAGATAGGTCAGGCTTCTTCACCGAATTAGGGACGCCGGAAACGGCATCCCTTTTAATAGATCCTCCATGAATTGGAGTTTTGGGCTCTTCATTTTCTTCATCCTCACACAAACGAACAGCTCTCCGCTTAGTGGGCAGTTGAGGAACAGGAGAGGAGCTGGACATAGCCTCCATTGCCCGTCGAT